CTCCGACACTTCCGCCATCTGCAATCCGACCCCACCACCAAAGACATTTTTCCCTCCCCACCCTTATCTGCTTTCCGGAGGGACCACTCTCTCCGTGACTCCCTTGTCCGCTCCACACTCCCCTCCAGCCCCACCACACCCGGCACTTTTCCCTGCAACCGCAGGAAGTGCTACATCTGCCCCTACACCTCCCCCCTCACCCCTATCCCAGGCCCCAAGAAGACTTTCCACATCAAGCAGATGTTCACCTGCACATCTGCTAATGTGGTATACTGCATCTGCTGTTCCTGTCGTGGCCTCCTCTACATTGGGGAAACCAAGCGGAGGCTTGGGGACCGCTTTGCAGAACACCTACGCTCGGTTCGCACTAAACAACTGCACCTCCCAGTCGCGAACCATTTCAACTCCCCCTCCCATTCCTCAGATGACATGTCCATCCTGGGCCTCCTGCAGTGCCACAACGATGCTACCCGAAGGTTGCAGGAACAGCAACTCATATTCCGCTTGGGAACCCTGCAGCCCAATGGTATCAATGTGGATTTCACAAGCTTCAAAATCTGCCCTCCGCATCCCAAAACCAGCTTAGCCCGTCCCCGCCTCCCTAACCTGTCCTTCCTCCAACCTATCCCTTCCTCCCACCTCAAGCCCCCCCCCCCCCTCCCACCCACTAACCTCATCCCGCCCCCTTGACCTGTCCGTCCTCCCTGGACTGACCTATCGCCTCCCTACCTCCCCACCTACACTCACCTTTACTGGCTCCATCCCTGCCTCTTTGACCTGTCTGTCTCCTCTCCACCTATCTTCTCCTCTATCCCATCTTCAATCTGCCTGCCCCTCTCTCTCTATTTATTTCAGAACCCCCTTCCCCTCCCCCATTTCTGAAGAAGGGTCTGGGCACGAAACATCAGCCTTCCTGCTCCTCTGATGCTGCTTGGCCTGCTGTGTTCATCCAGCTCTACACCTTGTTATCTCTTATAAACTCCTCATTCAGGTTACTGCAGCCTACCTGATTTTTCAGTTTATATATAGAATAAAGTCACCTGTGGTTATTGTCATCCCTTTATCACAACCACCCAGTATTTCTTCTTGCATATTTGTCCCGTATTGAGGTCACCATGTGGTTCCCTGTAGACCACTCTTACTGGTGACTTCTTTCCCCTACCATTCTTTGTATCCTGATGTCATGAGCCAAGGTCATTTCTAACTGCCATCATAAATTCCATGCCCAATTAACATGTTATCTCCTCATCTTTATCTAGCTTTGTATTCTTCTCATATACTCAATCCTCAGGGCCCAAACTTTGTCATCCTGTAGCAAAAAAGAAAAATAGTGGGAGTATTGCCTCTCACTCTTCTGGATTCCAGAGGAATCAAGCCCAGACTGTCCAACCTATCTTCATAAGACAACTCACTCATTTCAGGTATTAATCTAAGAAACCTCCTCATAAAAGGAGACTAAGGTTACACACAATATTTGAGGTGTGGTTTCATTAATGTCCTGTACAAATGAAACATACTATCTATTTTTATGTTCAATTTCTCTCATAATAAAGGAGAGCATCCTATTAACTTTGTTACTTTTTTTTGTATCTGCAAACTAACCTTTTGTGAATCATGCACTAGAAACCAGAATCTTTCAAAAGTGAGATTCTGCAGGCACAATGCTAGAGCTGTCATGCTCGCCAGAATACAGTGCAATATAAATCAGAATAAGGAAGCTAATGACATTCAGAGAATACTTAATACTGTAGAAAACGCAGAGGTCCATAAAAGGTACAGACGTGAAGTAAAGTACAGATTGTGCCACAGCACCACTCCCAATTTCCCACTACTGAGGCCATTTTCTATGTTTGTTTCAAACTTCAAGCTTCCACAATATTTCATTTTTATTTCAGTGAAATTGTTTCACTGGGGAAACTAACACAATGAAATGACCTCGCCTGGTTTATAGAATATAATTAAACCATCTCAGTTGGATAACCAGCACAGTTAAACTATCTCACTGTGATAACCAGCAAAGTGAAATGATCTCATTATGTAACTGACAATGTGAAACTATCTCATTGGGATAACCAGCAAAGTGAACTACTCACTTTGATAACCAACACGGTGAATTTCACTGGGATATCCATCGCAGATAAATTCTCTCACTGTGATGGCTATCACTAACAATCTCACTGTGATATCCATCACAGAGAAATTGTCTCACTATCATAAGCAACATAATGAAACTGTTAAACTATGACAGCCATGCAGATAAACTGTCTCAAGTCACAAATAAATTGGCCTTGTCTCAGTGAACTGAGGAGTAGACCTGAGGAGCTGAATGGCTTACCTTGGTTCCTACTTCATTTGTACGTATGCAAATACCACACTGGTATAACTAACAGTGAAAATATGTGCCTTGGATGACTAAGGGTGTGATACAATCTCATTGTGATAACTAACAGAGTGAAGCAATGAGTTTAATTTTCCCAGCCCCTAAATAACGTGGGCAATAAAAGAGTCAGTTGGGAAAGTATGGTGAAATTGGAAAAATGTAGCTCTTGATATTGAGGAAAAAAGACCAATTTTACACTCAACATTTGACATTCAGCAGGACTGGCAGTATCTATGGAGATGTTGCTTCAGAAGGGGAAGAATCATATTGGACTGCAAATGATTACTTAGTTTCTCTTTCCATAGATATTGCCAGACCAGATAGTTTCACTCTGTTTGTCATTACAGTGAGACACTTTCACTCTGTTGGTTATCATAGCAAGATTGTTTCACTGTTACCTGTCATTGATACAGCTTCACCGTGACCTGTTAGTGAGTTATTTTTACTGTTATCTGTCAGTGATAGTGTAGCACTGTGACCTGTCTGTAATACAGCTTCACTGTAACCCATCAGAGATAGTTTCACTGTCATCTATCAGTGACTTAATTTAACTGTGACCTGTTAGTGATACAGTCTCACAGTGACCACTCAATGAGGCACTCCTATAATAACCTGTCAATTATGTAGTCTCATGGTGATCTCTCAGTGAAACATTCTCACCTTTGCCTATCAGGAGTACAATCTCAGCATGACCTTTCAGGGATACAGTCTCATGGTGACTAGTTTATGATACAGTGTCACAGAGAACTTTCAGTGATATAATATCATTTGTCAGTTGTACTGCCTCATCTTGACCACTCAGTGATACAGTCTTGCTGTGGCCTTTCATTGGTTCAGTCTTACCATTAGCTGTCAATGATACAGTCTCAGCATGAACTGTCAGCGATAGTCTCGCCATGACTTGGTAGTGATACATTCTCACTGTGATCTCTCAGTGATACAGTATCACTGTTATCGTTGAGTTATACAGTCTTACTGTTACCCGTCAGTGATATGGCGTAACCATAAACTCTCAGTGATACAGTCTCACCATCTCCTCTCGGTGATACAGTCTCACCATCTCCTCTCGGTGATACAGTCTCACCGTGCCCTGTCAGTGATACAGTCTCACCGTGCCCTGTCAGTGATACA